TCAGAAGCTGTAAAAAAAAAAAAAAAAAAAAAAAAAAAAATTTAAAAAAATACATTCAAGCTTTACTATAAAATCTATATACAAGAGTAAAATTCAAGGGCTAACTGCAAGAAATAGCAATGAATTTCCACTGTTGTTTATTATAGCATTATACTTCTGTTTCTTTCTACTACAGCATTGTAAATTAGATTTTTATTTCTTATTAAAATATTGTACTTTGAAAAATCTACCCAACTATAGCACTGAATTTTAGGCAAATTAGAGGAAAACATTATAATTTGGGTGATTGTCAGGTAATACTTAATTTTTTTCCAATCATTCCATAAAAATTTTAGACATTTTCTCAAATACATTTAGGGGGTGTTTGTGTAAGTATATTTTGTTGGGCTTAAGCTTATGAGCTTATGAGTTTAAGAGCTTAAAAACTTATGAGCTTATAAGACAAAAAAGTGTTTGGATTAGCTTATGACTTATTAGCTAATAAGTTTTTTTTAAAAATAGTGTTTGTATTAACTTATTTTTGTAAAACGACTAGAACGGAGAATAATATAGTGCTGGGAAAAGAAGAATTATTTAGAGTTGAGGGTAAATAGGTAAATATAAACAAATAAGCTAAAATAAGCTCATAAGTTGTTTTCACTTGGCTTATGAAAATTGGCTTATTTTTAGATAAAATAAGCTCATAAGCTTAAGTTAATAAGCTAACCCAAACATTAATTTTTTATAACCCTCAAAAAATAAGCTGATAAGCTAAAAAGCCTGAAAAATAAACTAAAACAAACACCCCCTTAAATTGGGAAATTACTAGTGAAACCTGATATAAAGAAATTACCCGTGAAACCTCATATGATATAACAATATCAGGTCAAAATGGTTAGTTTAGAAAAAGTCTGAAACTTTCATGATTTGATTGGAAAAAAAAGTTTAACCAATATAACTGTTTTTTGTAATTTGCACTAGTAGTTTCAGTTTTTTTCCTGTTTAGGACATTATACTTTAAAAAATGTAGCAAGTTATAGCAATGGAAATTTCTATAACTAGGTAGAGTTTTACAATGTTGTGATAGTAAGATGATATAATAAAGAAATAAACAAAAGTGAGTTGCTATTTGATGCATTTAACCATAAATGAAAAAGAATAATATTAAATGGTTATGAAACTGACAGGTGAGAGCCAGAAGGCTGCAGTCTGCCAATCAAACTTTGGAGCATAAAGAATCGTCTCCCCATAATCATCTTCAAGCTTTTTATAGATATCTTTGTCACTTTTTCCAGAACGGATTTCATCACGAATAAGCTGCAATACAAAACCAAACATAATGAGAGCATGTGCAATTATATATAAACAAATTCATAAAGGAAAACTATTCTGTATGTGAGTGTTTTGTGGACGAATTTGGAACAAGATAGATGAACAAAAATGGCTTTATAAAAATATGGTGAAGATTTGAAGGATACATCTGCACCATGAATCATTTGAACACTTTATGTATAAGCAACTGGTAGTTGGTGGTTGTTACACAATGAAAAAATAAATGTTGAAGAATAAAGATAAAATAAAAAAGAGTCACCTTCCTGAGAAGAACAGCAATATCAGCTTGGGATTCTTCAATGGACTGACTACCACACTCTAAGCAGCGCACATTGTGACTAATGTTTCTTGCGCGTGCATCCAGAATCTGTTGTCTCTTCACTGGATCCTCTTCGTTTTCCATTCTCTAAATACGCCTCACTTCTGCAAATTCCAAAAACTACATAAATGCCCAGATTGTTAGGGTAACTTTCGGTTGTGCATTTTGTCGAACAGTTGGCTTGCAATGAATATCCTCTCCATAAAACAACAAATTGTAAAGTCTTTGTACTAAAAGCTTTTGGCTTTTCCCAATACCTTCACCAGAATTGTATTATGTATATATATTGTGGCGAATCCAGAAAAGATTTCACGCACACCTTACCACAAAATGTATTTATTACTATGTAGTTTTTGACGATACTAACAAAGAAAAAATTACATGTTAACAATTAACAACAAAAGCTAAATTGACTTTCTAACAACCCTAGAAAATTGACAAAAATAACACATAAAAATGAATAAACGAAAATAAAATTAGCAGAGTCGTAGACAGATTTAACAATATTAATACATAACAGAGAGTGAGAGAGACAAACCGGTCAATGGCGGGTGTGGGGTGGCACCGAGAGTAAAGGCCGAGAGCCGTTGAGGATGGGCGTTGACAGCGAGTCGGTGAGACGGGCGTCGAAGGTTTGGAATTCCTTTTATGGATACAAAGAAATTTGAGCTTTTACGTTTTTTTTTTTCTTGATTTTATATCCTCATAAATTGTTCCAAAACTGTATATTTAAAATATAATGGTTTAGGTTTGATATTTATTTAATCTTATTAACCAACTTATAATTATTATTAGAAAGAAATTGAAAAGCCGTGGGAGTTTCAAATGAATGTGATGAAAGAAAAAATATATGAGAGTTTCAAATGAATGTGGTGTTAATTCAAACTTTCTTTTTTTATCTATACTATGTATAAGACACATGTATTACATGGGTTAATTAAAAAAAATTAAATATAAAAATCTAAATATTTAAGAACTTTGGATTTATAAAAAATAATAAAAATAATAATAATAATGAACTTTAATTTAGTAATTTTGAAATAAAAATGTAAGTCTATTAATGAAATCGATATTCATTTATTACTACATTTATTGTAATTATTACATTAAATAATTATGTGGAATTTATTAAAATGGAAAAAACCAATAAAATGACATGTGGAAAAAAATTAATTCAAAATAACCACAAAATGACATTTGGCAAATTGAATGAGAGTGTAACATGTGGCAAAAAAATCTTATATATTAGAGTAGAGATTTTGGGAGGTTGACTTATTAAGGTAATTAACTTTTCGGTTTATTTACATTTGAGTAATTATTATTTTCTTGTACACATCTAGGTAACAAACTTGTTGGAAGTGTTCACATATGATCATTAGGGATGAAAGTGGGTCCAAACCCAAACTGGTAGACCCAGACCCGGAAAACCGGAGAACCGGTTAATGAGATTTTGTAGGACCGGAAACCGGACCGTTATATATAAGCCGGTTCCGGTTCGGTTCTGGGTAAGGTACCAGGTAAAGTGGGTCTAGAACTGGAAAACCCGGAAATATCAATGTGGGTAAGATGGAACAGGATAAAGTGGGTCTAGAACCAAAAAAACCCGCGAAAACCAGAATTTTGTGGTAATTACTTAGTGGTTGAACTTTGAAAATTTTCAACTTTGATATCCCAACTTCGGGGGACTTTAAGTCATTGAAGATTAAACCAAAATTGACAAAATTATAGTCTAAAATCATGTACAAACTCTAAACTACACGTTGAAATAACCTCATGATAATCTGACTTCAAACGAATTAGATATGCATGTTTTAAAATTTCACAGAATACAAATATAAAGCTGAAAAAAAAATTGCAGCTTTGGTATCCCGACTTTGGTAAATCAATGAATATGAAACCAAAAATGACAAAATTATAGTCTAAAATCATGTACAAACTCTATACTGCACTTTGGAAAAAACCACATGCTATTTTGACTTCAAACGAATTAGATATGCATGTTTTAAAACAATCACAGAATACAAAGAAAGCTGAAAAACATAAAATTTTCATCTTTGATGTCCCGACTTTAACAGACTATAAGTCAATGAATAAAAACCCAAGAATGACAAAATTATAGTCTAAAATCATGTACAAACTATAAACTACAATTTAGAAAAAACCTCATGCCAATCCGACTTCAAACGAATGAGATATGCATGTTTTAAAACTATCACAATATACAAAAAAAGCTGAAAAACATAAAATTTTCAGCTTTGATATCCCGACTTTGAGAGACTGTAAGTCAATGAATATAAATCCAAAAATGACAAAATTATTGTCTAAAATCATGTACAAACTATAAAATACACTCTGGAAAAAACCTCATGTCAATCTGACTTCAAACAAATGACATATGCATGTTTTACAATGTTTTAAAAACCAGTTTGAACCGGTCGGTCGAACCGGTTAGACCGTGAACCGGGGAAGGTAGCAGTTCAACAATCACTGGTTTTACGTCGATTTTTGAACCTGATTGAACCAACAGGTTTTTAGAAAAAAAAACACGGTTGAACCGGTCAAAATAAACCAGTTGAACCAGTTAAACCGAATAAAAACACATGAAAAAGAACCATATACATAATAAACTTTGGTGATTTTTTNACACTATTGTAACTTTGTTCACACATTGAAAAGCATTTTAACTAAAACATTTATCACAGTTCATTCCCAGAAATCACATATTACGGAAAAACATAGGTGTATGTCTTGCGATCGTCCCAAGATCCTTTATTTGAAAACTGGAGGTATCTAAAACCAAAACTGAAAATCGTAAGCACGAAGCTTAGTGAGTTCCCCAAATACCACATACTATACAATAACATATTGCCTAACATATCTTGGTGCTGGCATACCCCCTTCGGTTTCTTTCGACCGGATACTGCCTAGCATATAAGCATATATATCGCATACTGTCATACATAACCGTGAGCCAAGCATATCATTCATATATCGTAATCAATAGAGGTGTTATGTGTCGCACATAGTCTTGCCATTATGCCACGGGCCACCACGTGTCTTTCTTGTCTAGCCGGTGGCCACCCCTTGCGTCGTACATACAAGTGCCAAGAGTCATCTACNATAAAAACATATGGTAAATGTTATAAAGTTTTTTGATGTGTTTGTATTCATCTAAAACTATATTTTGTTTCGGTATTATACATTATTTTCTTTTTAACGTATATGGATTGATGTAAAACACTAAAACTTATGGTTATGTGTTATTTTAATGTAGTTGGATTCATCTACAACTTATTTTTAAGTGTATTTTTTATGTTTGAACTTGTAAACATCAAATTCATGATTTATATATGTATGTATGTGTAGGGGAAATAAGAAAAAACATGAAAAATATAGAAACTGGTTGACTTGACGATCGAACCGGTTAAACCGGGAACCGGTCACCATACCGGTTCAACTAAAAAATTCGTTTTTAAAACATTGATGTTTTACACTTTTCACAGGTTCCGACCCCTAAAACCAGTTCAGATTCTTAAACCCGATTTACCCGGACCCGAAACCCGAATTACCCGGAACCCGGATAGAGTCATTCTTTAAACCCGGGACCCGAACTGGTTTTACATATTTCGGTTATAACGGTTGATGTTCCGGTCCGATTCTGGTTCTGGTCCGGTTTTCCGGTTCTAAATTTCATCCCTAATGACTATTATGATCGGCTGTAGCATGTTACATACGCCCATAATGGT